CACCTCACAAACCGCTTTTTCAGAAGTACTTACAAAACTAATCATTTAAAAAACACATTTTTGAGTGCAGGAGCTCTTTAAGCTCACCTGTGTTCCCAATAAGCCCAGTAATTAGTTTATTTTTAGAAATATGATTCATTTTGATGATTAATAAACTTATGGTGGGCAAAATTTCAGCACATCACTAATCTTATTCATCATCATCATCATCATCATTAACCGCTTAATCCAGATAGGGTCGCTGTAGCAGTTGGGAGAGCAGAGGATCCCAGACGACCCTGTCCCCCGCAACCTCCTCCAGCTCATTCCCGGAGACCCCCAGCTGCTCCCAGGCCAACCTGGAGATATTAACTAAAAAATCCAAAAATCCTCCTTGACAAAGGGACGCAGAAAACCGTGTATCCTGCCCGGGAAAGGGTTATCGGGACCCGCCCCTGGAGCCAGGCCTGGGGGTAGTGTTCCTTAGCAAGTACCTGGCTCAGCCCGAAAAGGCAACGTGGGGGGAGCATGTGGGCACTTGGAGGCATAGACCCCTGCGGCAGAAAACTAATCTTATTTGTCCCGCAAAATTCTGAATTCAGAATTCCTGGATTAATTTTTAAGCACGGTTTTCATGGTGGCTCTGACCTGTTCACGGACCCTCAATGTGGACATAAGTATCTCAAATTAAAAGAATTACTCGCAGTAACAGACCTCAAAAAGAGCTGTTTGTTTATTAGATGAGATGTACAGTATTTTAAAACTACTTCAAATTTTATAAAATATTTTACATTAGACTTGGGCTACATTAGACTTGAAATGGGCTTACAGGGTATGTAGGCTTATTCAGGGCTTTCCCTCTATTGATCAAAATAAACTATGTACTACAGACAAAATATACTGCTCATTATGGACTAGCTAGATTCTGGGCAAGGAGCACAAATTTACAATTATAACAGAATGTTGAACGCATACACAATGCATTTGTGCATGGAGCTGATGCTGTGCGCGACAAGCAAGTTGACTACATACCTCTAAATTCATGCTTGTGCATGAGAGAATGCATATTATACATTTACTAGGGTGGGGGGAAAAATCGATTCTTAGATGCACCGCGATGTGGACGTGGATGATTCCGAATCAATTCACAAATGTAAAAAAAATCTAAATTTTAACTTAACGTAATGTTGACGGAATGCAAAAAGTGGAACTTTGCAAAGTGCGGAAGTGCAGCGCACGGACAGTCTGTGGTGTGCACACTACATTAAAAGCTAGTGCAGGGGTCGCAACCCAAATGTCAATGAGTCATTTTTTTTTCAACAAAAAATCAAACCACCTTGGGAGCCACAACATTTTGAGTCCATTTTACCATCTTGGCTGTACGTGTCTCAGTACATGCTAATGTCCTAGTGTAAAAATATAATACAAACAAAAACGCAGACTTACTTTGCTCAGCTTTCAGCTTTAGCTCAGCTGTAGCTACTTTTCTTGCATCGCCAGCTGGAAACTTTTACACAAAAGTAGAACAGTTTCTTGTAAAACATTTCTCAATGTTCTACTTTTTACAAGGCTAAAGTCGCTTCTCATTCAAATTGTCCCGTTCCACCTTAAATGGTTCAGCAGTTACATTCTGGTGCCTCAGGCACTATTTAAGGTGGAATGGGACAATTCGAACGAGAAGCTGGAGAACGAGAAACTAACTTCAGTTTCACGTTTTTTAGTGTTTGACAGTTTCTCGTTGCAGATTAAATGTATCAGGAAACCAGCTGACTGATTATAAATGCAAATAAGTCTATTCGCCTCCAAATTATGGATGTTCGTCTTAAATCTTTCTCTTTGCCTTTTTGTTAGCTACTAGCTAGGTGAACTAGCAGTTATAGACTACATTAATTCCAGCATTTAAGATCATTTATTGTTGAAACTGTGTTTGAATGATCAGCAGAGCTTTATTTTACTGCAAATGAGGATTATTTTATTTTTACCTAGAAATCTAACATGGAGCCACACCAGGCCAGTAAAAGAGCCACAGGTTGCCGATCCCTGAGCTGGCGTATGGAAGCACTATGACTTCTGTGGAGCATATTACGTTTCCGCCCATTTTCCGCCCGGTTGTAGTTGCTGCCAACCAGAGGACCATCGATCAAGCGATGTCAAAACTTCCAACTAAATCGAAAAGGACAAAGCGAACTACAAACTCTATCAAAACTTTTATTGCCAAGGATTTGCGTCCGTTGAGACCAAAACCGAAGTTATGAAATCACTGAAGATAACAAGTAGAATAACTGTAATCTGCTGCGTGGACACCCATTACCACAGGATCTTATTTCACCGTAACTGTGCATTTTATTGCAGATGAGTCTCATGTGCTCCAAACAAGAGCAGTGAATGAGAGCCTTCCAGTTGACTTGCCATATCGCTTCCATTTGATTTATTAATAAAAGATATTGTAAGTAAATTCATTATGGATCATTACAGATACTTTGGTTTAAAAGTTCCAAGTTGTCACACAGTGAGAAAAAAGAAATCCTGTATAGAAAAAAGATTAATCGATAGTCATTTTATAATCGCATCGCAGCCCTCTGAATCGTAATCGAATCAAATCGTGAGGTGCCTAGAGATTCCCACCCCTAATATTTACAGTATGTATTTCACCATCTTTTAGCCTATTAGAAATGGATCTCCTATGGTTTAATATGGTTGGACATTACGTACTACGCTGTGTAAAATATAGCATGTCATGCTGTATGTATCAACATAATCTTGTAGCCTTTTAAGATAATGTAGTTTAGCAATTTATTGAACATTGTCCATTATGCAATGCAGTGTAAAACATGGCACGAATGGCATAAATATAACATGCACATTTATTTATTATAATTTAGCATTAAATATTTAGCCTTATTTAGCATGACAACTTGTATTTTTTGTATATTTGTTTTCATGTTGCCTATTTTATCCATGTATTATATTTAGTCATGTTGTCTTATCTTTTCTTTCCCCAGGAGGAACCCAGGAGTTCAGCTGTTAACTCTAAAAGACGTTAAAGTCCAATATGTGCTGTTGCAGAGGTGTGGGGTGCATTTATACATTTTGGATAGGGTAATCATTTTCTTGGAAGAAATATCAATATTGCTCTGAAGTTGACTTACATTTGTCTGTTCTTCAAGAAAAGTAGAACATGACTGATTTTTCATCCCAAGCATCCATACATGCATTATAAACCCTCAAAATAACAGGCATTTTTTGTTTTGTTTTGACATTTTCTTCTGTATTTGATGTTCTCAAATGGAACCTAAATGTTGGAAATAAAAGCCTGGAGAATGAATGTCCTGGTCCAAGTGTCTACGTCAGTTTAAGCCCTGAACAATCATTGTGCTATTTGTACAACTTAAGATAACTAGTGTTATAGTGTAGTAGTACAAATCATTTAAAAATGAGCTTGAACTTGGATCTGCATAAAGGGGTTAAAACGGCTGGTGAATGAAGCCCATAGTTATTTTCTTCTTATTGTTACAGTTATATAACAAAACTCTTGGTAAAATTTGTGCACACTCATTTTACAATCAGATTTGAGTGCAAGCAGCTTTGGTGAATAAGGGCCGAGGCACTACAGTCTGCCTGTTCCTCTCCTGCCCAAAACAAGCCCATGCTAGAGAGCATCAGATGTCTGCAGGTGGTGCTACAAGAGCACCAAAACCCCATGCAGAAGTGGAAGCTAAGCCAAAGAGGAAGGGCATTGTTTAAAGCTCAGGCGATTGTTCCAGATGATTCATGCTTAGTCATATGATTTTTAAGGCTAGGCAGCATGCACGTACCTCAAAATAATCATGGACACTTCCTGGAATTTCCTTGATGTAGCAGTCAAAAATACAGTGTCAGGTGTCTGAAATCACACACTGATAGTGCGCCGTTTGGTTTGGAGGGTCTGAAATTACGACCAATGGAGTTCAACAGGGTTGACTGAGAGCCAGCTGCTATGTTTAGTTCGATGAAAGGTGCCACATGTTGATACACTCACAGTTTCCTCCTGCTGAATTAACTATTAAGTGCACTTGATCTGTCTAATGGAACCTGATGTTCAGTCTTGCACAGCAAATCCAGACTCAGACCACTATAATTTTCTCTAAAACCCTTCAAAACATTGATGACGGATGTGAACGCACATTACAAATCACTGGAGGAGAGAGATGCAGACAGGGAAAGAGAGAGAGGCTCTGTGGTTGTTTTTTTCCATATTTATATTAGTTATTTATACATTTATTCAAACAGTCGTATACAAAACCTTCTGCTCCCCTGGTCAAATTACATATTTTATTGATTCTCCATGTGAAAATGTGTTAATACATCCTCTACAGAGAACACAATTCTGCACATCTTAATGTACGACTACTGTTTATTTGCTGAATTTAACATATTGGGGAAAAAATTCATCATCAAAAATAATTTGTCAAGGTTTTATTTTTCCCCCAAATATCTGCAGAAAATGCAGTGTGTTCTCCGTAGAGGATACATATGCAAAAAACACTTTGCAATTGCAGTCGTATGCACTAGTTGCATATGACTTCACATACTATTTATTTATACATGTTAAAATGAGAGTGAAGATACACACCTAATTAAACTCATTAACTAATTGAAAAGCTCCCCATGTGCTGGGTCAAGTGTATAGAGTAGGAAAAACACAAAAATGTGCGAAGCATGGGGTCCCCAGGACTGACTTCGGGAACCTATGCTTTAAATCACGTATTTAGGATTGTGAAAAACATACATTTAATTAGGTGTGTCTAAACATTTCACAGGTATTGTGTTGGGCATACCTGTCCAGGGTGTATCCTGCCTTCTGCCCACTGACAGCTGGGATAGGCTCCAGCATCCCAATGCGACCCAGAAGGATAAGCGGTTTAGATGATGTGTGTGTGTGTGTGTGTGTGTGTGTGTGTGTGTGTGTGTGTGTGTGTGTGTGTGTGTGTGTCGGGCATGCAAAGAGAATGTCATGTTAGTAATTTTAACTATTGCCTCACCTGTTATAGATGTCATCATCCTCTCCTCCCCAGCCCCAGTACTCATTAGGGAAGCCATTGATTTTGAGGAACTGCTTTTTGCTTAAGCCAGAGACGCCTCCAAAGTACCCTGCATACGGTAGCCTGGAAGAAAATAAAAACAGCAGTGGTGTAACTATTCATTCATGGTTTAGGGGACAGAAATGGAAGGTTAAACCACAAATGCTTGTGATTTCAAGAATTTAAGCCTTGTAATAGTGCTACGCTGGATAATCATTGTAGTTACTGTGTTTGTTTAACTCTTTTTAACTGGTCTATATTCTCTGTATTCTGCCCAAAAGCAGAACTTACCAGCAGACATTGTTCCTCTAAAGATTTAAATGGTATCACTATATCAATCAAGACACTGTGAAAGAATGTTATTTTATGTGTCAGTTAAGTAAAATTCAAACTGCATTTTTATTAAATATTAAATAATATTTTATATATTAAAATGTATTAAAATTATTTGTTTTATATTAATTTAATATATGTAGTGCTGATGTGGGAACAGTAATATTTGAAATGGAATTTCAGTGGCTCTGTATATAGACATCTAAAAATAGCTATATTCCAAAAAAACAAAATGCTGTGGACCAACCCTCCTCAACCCCCAATACTCCCAACTCTAAAAAAACGTAAAGGTAGGCAGCCCGGAGTAAAAGATATTCATAGGACACAGGACAACATGGGAAATGCAAGTCGGTCCCACCTGCTGATCACTGATTGCTCAACCTCTCAGAGACTCCTTGAGGCTAAGCCAAACTCTGTCACTGAGTTGATTTAGGATCTGAGGCAATAAGCTTTAGATTTCTTTTCCATCTTTCAAAAACAAAGGAGGAACGCAAAGGTGCTGAAACATTTTCACTGTGTTTCTCAGTAGTTAAGTCCTTCAGTGGGGTGAGCCAGTCAACTCAGGGGTTCAAATCTGACACAGCTCCGTCTTGCATGAGTGAGCCGGGAGAGAGGTTGAATCTTCCCATAGGGGAACCTGACGTCTGAAATGATATCTGATCCCCCTCCTGACCCTATTTCATCCTGTGCTTCGCTTCTTCCCTCCTTCTCCCTCTCTCTCTCACAGATCCTACGGTTTGTCTGACATGGCCTCCAGAAAGCTGAAGTGTGCTATTACCATAGAATCCTTCCACACAGATCCAAGGGGCTTTTCAACCATGGAATTCAAACAGTACAGGGAGTGCAGGGAGGAGGAACACCAGATCAAACTTGAGGAGTCATCTGAAAACCCTTGGAGTGATGTCAATTACAAATGTGAGGTGAGGTCCAGGGGTGGAAGAAAAAGGCTGGGTGATATTTCCAGGTGCTGAGAAAGGCCTATAGCCTTAACACTTTAACCACTGATGGCACATTAGGGATGTTCAGTATGGTCAGAAACAAAATATTACTTTCCCAGATTATTCAACATCGATAATTAATTTCATTGCATATTCAGTTCTAGTTTTTGCTTTTGATCTACAAAGCCCTAAATGGCCTGGCGCCCCCCTATATAGCTGAACTTCTCCCCTCTACTCCTGCCTGTTCACTGAGGTCTGCTGGTATTGGTCTCTTGGTGGTCCCTCCCTTTGAACAATCAGCTTTTGGGGGCAGATCCTTCAGTGGCCCACAAGTCACGGAACACTCTTGCTCTATCTCTCTGACTTTGCTCTTCCTGTTCTTCCTTCAAAGTCCAGCACGTTCCACTGTGTCACTCTTTCCTTCCCATGTCTGATCATGTATACTTGGCATCTTCTGTTTTCTGCTATTCTTTCTACCTTGTATGTTTGTACAATTCTGTGTATCGATACTCTTACCCAATTGTAAACCGTCTTGGGTATATGAAAGCCGCTATTTGAATTAAACGAATTATGATAAAAAAAAAATCAAAAGAAATATAATTTTGCTACAAATCACTTTTTTAGTCCTTTATTGCGAAAATCTCCTCTTGTTCTGAGACATTTCCTTCAAACTCATGACCTTTTCTGCTCTCCATAACACTAATCATGATTTCAACAGTGAAAATGGCTAGCAAACTCTCTTAACTATTACTCTTTTAAGTAAGTGGCTCAACTTCTTCTCCTTTCTCGTCTGGTGAGTAAAAGGGTCTAGACTACTAGGTGCTAAGTGTACTAATATTGGACTAAGGAATAGAACAGCACAAGTATTTTATCAAAAAATACCTCAAATGTACATTATCATTATCAAAACATTGTTAGTGTTTGATCTAGTGATGTGCATTCTAACTGATTTTAATATTTGTGTATTCATTAGAGATATTCAGTTAATAGCAAGAAAAACATGAGACTAATCTGCGACATTTTGACCAAAATAACGTAGGGCTTACTTTCCTAGATGGCAGTGCTAGTGTTGCAACAAAATGTATCAGCACGCAGAAGAATCCATTTGAAAAAATACTTTATTATTCAGAAATAGCGCAGTGAAATGAGTTGGTTTTCCTGTCAGATGAGTACTGGAGGCTGCCTCTTCAGGTGAGCTAATGAACGGCTTCAACATTGTATGCTGATGAGGACTCGTCTTTTACACAAGGTCTTGTTAGTTTGTCAGAGAAGTACATTTACATTTACAGAAGTACATTTTGTGCCATCTTGTTAGTTCGTCAGAGAAGTACATTTAGAGTAGTTAGACTTATCATCACCACAGCTGGAAGCACTATCCCTGCCTTCTCATTAATGCACTCATGTTTGAGTAGCAAAGTGCAATAGTATATACATACACAAACTTGCCACATTTCACAGTCCTGTTAAAACATTAAATTGGCATTTCAGCAAATTGTTAGCCTGGATATTTTCTCCATCTTATCGTGAACACAAAGAAACTGCATTTCAACTAATTTGAAAATAAATAACTCACACTCAATTATCAATAAGAATTAATGAGCAGATAACTGGTTGACCGCAGTAATAAAAAACAGTGCATTACACCTGAAGGCTTACCTTTATAGGTGACAGCACTGGAGCTGTACAAACATTTAGCACTACATAGAAGCATACATTTGAAAACTTATTTTAATGTTCAGTAATAGCCAAGGAAAATCAGCAGGCTTTCATGCCTCAGACGAGCTAATGAGCTAGAACTCCAGCTAACTGATACAGCACTTGATGCTGATAAAGACTTACAGGTGGTATTTTTTCCTTAGTGGACGATATATGGAAATATATTTTTACTGTTTCTGGACCTAGTTAACATCAGCTAGACTAGTTAGCCTAGTTAGCAATGAAGCCATGCTATATCTGCCTTCTCAATCACAGCCTTAACAGCAAGTCCTTGGCAATGTGCTTAAAGCACTTTAAGGCATTTTTGGAGTTTCAGAATAGCAAAGCATAATACAGTATACGTACTGAAAAATATGAGTAAACTAAGTACCTGTGCACACCCCTTGTTTTAGCACCCATGCTGCTGAAGAAACAACATAGACCATGCTGGCTGGTAACCAGGAAAACCAGCTTATGCTGTGTTTTGGATGCTGGTATGCTGGTCAACCAGCATGACCAAGCAGGGTGACCAGCTAAACCAGCACCAGACCAGTACTTGTTGATTTTCTAAGTGCTTATGCACATTTACTGCACAATTACTGTTTATTTGCTGACAAGAACCTTATAAGAAATACTTATTGGAAAGTCTGTCTACTTGGTGTCCATCTTGGCAAAACTCCTGGGCAGTCATTTCCATGCAAGACCAAACTCCTCATTCTCATTGAATGTGGAGAGTCCTACCTATAAACTTGAAACTGAAAGCCACATTAATGTTTCAAAAACATATGTGAAATAACTGTTGAAATCTGACAAAACACCATAGTTTGTAGCGATTGGAAGAAAATGTGTTTTTTCAGCTTAGTCTGGCTACTGCCCATACATATCTCCACAATAAGGAAGGGCTTTTGCCACTTGTGGCTTTGACTGCAAGCCAGTCAGCTCTTTCTAAGAGTGGGAGTTCAACTGTAAACAGAAGCCATGCTGAGTCTTACAAGCTTTCCCAGTCATTTTTTAAGTAGTGACCCGTCTCCTCCCTTATAACATCACTGATTTAACATGGGAAAAAAAAAAAAGTGGCTTATGTAAAAGTTAAAATGTTACTGAAAAATGCCATATTTGACATATTTTCACTTAGCAAATCAACAAAACATGTAATTTTACTTACATATGACTGTAGCATGTAACTGGACTGGTAACACTTCACTTTTTTTGCATGGATGGCTGCGTATGAAGGCTTAAACAAAGTCCTTGCACATTTATGAATGCCAGCTGTCTAGCTCCACAGCAGAGAGGATGCTGAATGATGGCTGCACGCTGCAGCAGCTTGGAAAACATGAACTGAGCTGAAGATGCCCACTGAGGGTAGTCATGGGTAGATGCCTGGGGTTTGCCCCGGGCTACTACACACTCTGCGCGCAAGCATGAGTGTGTATGTGCGCATGTGAGAGAGCAAATGACAGCAAAACATATCCACCCACGCAAAACAATCCATAACATAAGGCAAGGACAAAAAGCACAAAACCGTGCATGCACACACCTTTCAGACCCAAAGACAACAAGCTGAAATTAATGAGCCCATCTGCTGCAGCGGTAGAACAGCGCAGTTGGGGCTCGGGAGTGGCACACGCTCAGCCTGTGCGAGTGGGCATGTCTAAAGGTGCCCCACTTATTAAAGACTGCCACGATCCAACCTTGCTGGGTCACACACACAGGCCTCTGGAGTGACTCACGCACTGAGGAGAGATGAAATCATCTGACTGAGCCATTCACTCTCTCCTCTCTCTGTAAACACTGCAGCCAGTGCACTGGAGCCTGGAGCAGGTGCATAGATTTGATACAGAGTACAGTACAATACAGGTGGGAAATGCTCATTTTGTTCAATAACAATGGCAGCATTGTGGAGGCAGACAGGTGAGCTGTCATGGATCGGCATTCTCTGTGGGCTGTTCTGTCTACTGTGCTTTCAACCAGATGATCACAGGTGCCTAGACTGGTTTCTCACAAAGCAGAGGGTTAGGAGTGCTGATCTATGATCACCATTGGCAAGGGCTCTCAAATTCTACAGCACTGCTCTTTTTGTTTTATTCTCTTTTTTTTGGTTTTCTCGCTCTAGCACACATTGATTTGACTTGTGACTGATAGCTTGAAAAAGAGCTAACACAAAACTATGTAATGGTACACGACTGGTCATGATCATGAAGTTTTAGCTGATGACTAATTGTCATAAATAAATATCTGTGATTAGCAATTAAACTTTTTAATCTTCTCTAGAAAGACAATAAAAATGTATAAAAACGCAAGCATAAAGTGGCTAAATTGGTGAAGTGTCTGATCAGCTATCTTGCTTCTTAGTTGTCACTATTCAATAGGGCTGCAACAACTAATCAACAATATCAATAATGTCAATAATCAAAAAAATGGTAGCAACAAATCTATCAATTAGTTGCCTTGATGATGTTTGCGCTTTTTTAGTTTTCTTGCTCTAGCACACATTTATTTGACCTGTAACTGATAGCATGAATCAGGTGTGTTGAAACAGAGATCACCTCTCAGTCACCTCACTGAAAGAGGGAAAATACAGATGGCAGAGACTACAGTACAGGGCGATGCATGACTCACATAGTTTGAAAAAAAAAAAAGCACAAGAACACTATCATCTAAAAAGATGAGTCAAACATTAAAAACAGCCTCTCACTGTCTGCTTTTCATACATCTCTGTTTTCTTTGAACATAATAAACACTTTTGGCATTTGCATCTGAACTGCACAGCTAACTATGTTTACCTGTTATCAGAGCGTTTGTGCACTAATGCATGCAGACCTGCATGTCCACAAGGATATGGATATGGATATATTTTTGAAAATGTATTTGTTTCTTTGCGTTTTTGGCTCCTGTCTGCATGAAAATGGTGTTTTAGGTCATTAAAATAGCTCATAGAAAATTCTTATTATTATTATTGTTATTATTACTATTATCATCATCATCATCATTATCATGTGTTTTTATGTGGTTGGATGTTTTTGAAAATGCTGACCTTTCATGCATGTTTATTGCTGTTTTACTTGTGATGACGCTTTAGGATACTGTGTGTCTGACGTGGCTTATTCTGCTTACTTGGCAACATCAGATTTGAAATAATGGTATGGACCAACAAACTAATTCATTTTCAATTACTTTATTATTACAGGAGAAATCATTTGAATAGTCAAGTCAAGTCAAAGTTTATTTATATAGCGATTTTTACAACAGGTGTTGTCACAAAGCAGCTTTACAGAAAAATCCGGGTCCAAGCCAACATGAGCGTCGCCAATGGCGACAGTGGCAAGGAAAAACTCCCTAAAAGCAAGAGGAAGAAACCTTGAGAAGAACCAAGACTCAAAAGGGGAACCCATCCTCCTCTGGTCAACACCAGACAGCAAACAGCGTTAGTATAAAATATTAGAATACAAAATGGGGGAAAACAAGTGGAGCAATGGTTAACTAGACAGTTTGAGTTTATGCAGCAGCAGCATCATCACCATCAGGAGAGTGAGCAATGTAAATAGCAATATAAATAGCTATGTGAAGTTTTTGTAGAATTAAATTACCTCCATAGTAGTGTTTGGACTTCTATGTAAAATTTGTCCATGCTTTGTTCTTTTATTATTTGTGCACACTGAGTAGTTTTAGTAGTGTATTTAAGGGCAGTGCAGAAGATCAGTTGTTATGCTTTGATAAAAGTCCTTTTTTTGACAGACAATTAGCTGCACTATTTTCAAAACTAAGCATTAGGAAATGTGTATATTAATCAGTGATAATTATCAATGTCGAGTGATTAGGAAAAATATATTGTGATTAGACTTTTGACCATCTATACATGCAGCAGGAATCTGTACCTGGATCTGCACCTGTACTCTCATTAAGAATGATTATGTACTTTGGCAATTGCTGCTGGGAAGAACATTGGCCCTATGAGAGGAAACGAACAAAAACCTGAACCACTGACGGCTGCCGACATATCAGAGACAGACAAGTGGAAGCAGAAGTGGAACAGCGGGTTACAGAGTTCGAGTCAACTCAGTTGTGTAATAATGGAGAAGGAGAGAGGAGATGTCTCATATGGTACCTTGAAAGATCCAGATTGTCTCTAACAAGAAAAGTCTGTCCTCTGGGGTTAACGGTAGAGGCCGGGCCTACACCTTTGGTCCCTGAACGGACGGGGGGAATTAAACATCATGGTGCCGCCAGATGGCAAAAAATTCATTTTAAGTTTAGCTCTATGGCAGCCAACTTCAGAGAACCTTTGCAAGCACTTTAATATCCTTGGCTATTAAGGCTTGCAGATAGCCATGTTATCTCTAAGTTAATAACTTTCATCCATTGCTGCAGCACCATAACTAAATGCATACGTCTGTCAAGGCTACAGCCTGTCTAGACTGACACAATTCATCAAATGAAGTTTTGATATCGAACAAATGCATAAGTGAACCACATTCAACAACTCCACACAATACAACAGTTAAGAGCTATAAGCTGTATCTCCACTTGTTAAAAAAAAAAAAAAGCAATTACCTATATGAAGGACAGGCTTCAGACAGACAAGCCTCCAGCGCTTACTGAATACTTGTCTGAATAGGCGTCTCTATTCTGTTTGATTACACATCCCTGAAATAGAGACGGCACAAAGGCAGACCCGGCCTCTATTAATATGTAAATACCAACGAATGCCACAATCCTTGTAAGAAACTCGGACAAAACCACTGCCGCTAAACATTATACACACTAACGTACAGCCTTAAGTCTGCTTCTTTGCAACTCCAAGCAGATAAATTCAGGATGGAGTCTCTAATTAGTTTACATACTCCAGATCATGGAAGTGGGAAAATAAATTAGGCTCCATCGCCCACTGCAGCAGCACCCCCTGCCTGGTCTCCACATGGTACTTTCACGTCAGCCAGGGTTACCTGAAGCCAAACTTGTCCATGGCAATGGCGAAGTGGCGCGGCTGGTCGTAGCAGTGGTACAGGTTGCGGTCGTCCATGGGGATGAGGTCAACGTCACTGAAGATGAAGCAGTCATACTCAGCGTCCTTTAGAGCCTCCGTGTAGCCCACATTCAACAGCTTGGCCCGGTTGAACGTGTCTTCGCCAAGCTAAAGGATGACACCAACAATAACAGTTATAGTGGTACATAAAATCATATATGCATAAAACACAAAAAAAAAATCACTAAATAAACAAACTGGTACAAAATCTGGTACGAATCACCTCGTAAGCTAGATGCATGCAATAAATAAATGACGATTTAAAAGTTCTTCTTTTTTTGTATAATAATACACAAAATATAAAATGTGCCATAACTTTCGAACAGCCCACATTTAATGTTTTTGATGTGTTCAAAATTTTTTTCCCTTAAAAAGCAAAAACATGTAAACTGGCCAAAAAGAGAATTTAAAAAATAAATGCCATTATATTTAGGATGGCCATTAAATGGTATGTTTGCAGTTAGTCCCATAGTCTGACTGAAGCTGGTCTGGAGGAGTGGTCTTATGGAGTAATTGTGAGATTGTGAGAGGGCATTAGCCAATGACAAGAACATTTGTGGCCATATAAAGCAAAACAGCAGCACTGTTCAGCTCTGATCATAGATCAGCTCTCCAACTTCTCATAACTCTTATGAACAAGGCCATTTTGGGTACTCTGACCTAAACTGAGAATTGATGCAGCAGCCCAGCATAGTAATTGGACGTAGAGGCAAAAGCTTAATCCTAGTATCAGGGAAAATCTAAGAGCTAACAAGAAAATTTGTTCTGGGCATTATGAGCTAAACTCACATTCACCTTTGGAGATTCCTTACTGGGGGGAAAACACAAAGAAGGTAATAGATGACTGTAGAGAGCTTTACACTTTGCCATGACCCACAAGGTCATTGGTTTGATCCCAGCTGATGGCTGATGCCACTGGGCTCTTCAGCAAAGCTTTTAACACAAGCCTCTCTGGACAAAAGCAAAAGCCTTTGCAACTAAATTAAACAATGCAACTAAACTCGTTTCTTCCATCCACATTGTCTGTGAATACAATGAGCATTTGCATGATGACCGATCAGTATTCACCTCATCTACTTGAGGTGTCTCCTAAGTGGAGATTAATACTTTAACCACAAAGGAAAGCTGTTAACCTTTCCTAAATGAACAGAATAGGGAACAATGTGAGACAAACGCTCTTGTTAGCTGTTTCGATTTTAGGCCTATTTAAATGAGACTCATTAGCTAGGATTTAAAGCCGAAACTCTATTTACACCCTGCAGAGGTAACGCCATAGACTACGTCTGAACTAATAATCCAGTGTGACAATAATCCCATGTAATCCTGTAATACCAGAGATTTGACCGAATAATTTGATGCTGAGAACTACCGTCACAAATCCACTGTGATTTTGAAGAGGAATGCAAGCCCACCTGATCCACACCAGAAAAGTGCTGTACAGAAGACTCACTAACAGCACAGTTTCACGATCCTCTCCTTCTGGACTTTTCAACGCACAACCAACAGAAAAAAATAACACGACCCCACTCATTAGCTTTTGCAAATAAGCCCGAGCCTATTCAACAAACAGCAAGACCAACGAAATCAATAGTTAGTATTTTAGTATGCCATAATTTTCTTTAGGCAGGTCATTAAATTGTGTGCTGTGCAGTTCAAGCCCATTATCGGACTGAAGTTTGGTCTTGAGGATTTAATGACTGAGTGATAATATCAGGCATTGACAGGAACATCAGGGGCCGCATGCACAAAGGGTTTCGAAACCCTCAAAATGGAAACTCTGTAGAGACTCGTACACTATTTAAAAAAAAAGTCAGAAAGAGTTTCTTGTGCAATACTATAAAATAACCACCTAAAGAAAAGGGACATATCATTCATGAATTTGTATGTCCAATTGCAATTCTGATTTCTTTATAGACAATTTTTTTCTGGCCGACTGTATTAGCCTTTTTTACCTGAAAATTCGAAAACTTACACTGTTCAGAGTAAATGAACACATGAAATACACTAGCAGATTTCCACAACTTTGTGTTAACACGCAACACAAACAACATTATTTGCTCTTTAATGGGCCAAACTGCCTTTTAAAAATTTTTAGTTGCCTAATAATACTAACCTAATAAAGTGCTACATCAACTTGCTTTTTAGCACAATGAGTAATTACGCTACATCATTTTGGTACAGGTGCGGCAACTGCACTCAAATACAGCATGAGTGCACTCACCTTTCTCATGTTATTTACCTCAAAAAATTGTTGCAACACAGATCTGGCAAAACAAAAGTAATAAATTGGCTGCGTGCCAATTTTGTGATTTCAGCAAAAATCTGTTGATTCCGATCTTGGCTGTGCATCCTTACCAAACAGCCATGTCTGAAATAGATTTGCCAGTGTGAATAACCTTTTAAAGGTTTTTAAACATTTTCTCAATGTTTCAAATTCCAGTTTAGTTCTATTGTTGAAATGTTATCAAAGTCAGACTTTGATGTGAAATGGGACATTATAGAGAAACCTAGTGAACAGTGGTAGGGATAAGAACCAGGAATTGCAATGTCCCCAGTGAAAAAATGGGCATTTTATTTTTGACCCAAAATCACACACATGTATGTAATGCTGATAATTGTAAATGAAGTGCTAAATCGAACGGTAAAAAAAAACATTTCAAGGATAAATGCATTTTTGGGACTATTTTGCCTTTCAATGCCCTGCATGTACCGCTTAACATGAATGGATTTTTAAAAATACAATTCAGGCCAAAACCCTCTCACAACTGCCTTAAAACAATGTCTTTGGCATCAGGCTGTGTATATCACCACCACTGTGAGCAATTCTGACTCCAAAAGTTTCTCTAGAATCACACCACTCTGAATGACTGTTTTTTAAAGAATTTTCACATGATATAAATGTTCTATAGCAATTTAAGTGTTCTTCCTGGATCCTTTACATTATGCCGAGGGTTTTTAAACTTTAAAAAGCTTCTTCTCTAAAGACACATCCATTAAAAGTTTTTTTTTAAGGAACCAAAAGTGGTCCCCCTGTGGCATCACAGAAAGAACCATTCTAGGCACTTATTTTTAAAAGTGTAGATCAGCTCTACAGATACTTATAAATCTTTACAGAAAGAGGTAGAAGCTGATTTGGGGAAGCTGATCCAACCTGAGAATTGATGAAGCAGTAACTGGATATGGAGGCAAAAGCTTAATCCTGACATCATGGAAAATCTAAGCGCTGACAAGAAAATTTGTTCTGTACATTAAACAAGAGTACCATGAGAATATCATGGTGAGCCTCCTTTTCAATTCTGGTAATAATTTGCATTACCTCAGAGATACAAAGACAAGAAAGTAAGAGCCTTCAATATGCACCCTTATCGAAGAGACACAGTTCGACAGAGGGGGAAAGAGGAAAGAGGGCAGATAAAGCAACATATTAAAAGAGGTAAATTGCTTTTTCTGCAGCTGACATGCTTATTAACCAATACTGGACTCATTCATAGCGCTTCAGTAAGACGTTCTCCTCATGAGGCACCAGTCAGCTCAGGCAAATGGAGCTGTAAGTCTCCCATAATCACAGAGCAGGCAAACTCACAAAGTGAGCTTGAGAGACCATAAGTCAAGGAGAAAGATTTTAAATATAAGACTACAAATATACACTTTAACCCATTAATGACAAACGTTGTATGGGTGATTCATTCATGATAGGCCTGTGAGATCATGTGCAGTCCTACACTGTCCAATCGCACCTTCTTGACTACAGTATCGTGGCAGGCTTGAGTCATTTCCAAAAAAGAAAAATATGCATTTTCAGTGCACATAGGAAAAACCTGCCACAAAGTCTTAGAGACTGCAATTTATCCTACCGAGAAGTTGAGATTTGAGACACCTTTCTCCTGAACTTTGTTTAGTACGGTTCGGTAAAACTAAACTTTCATAGCCCATAAATCTTCTTGTTAAAATGCCTACAGCTCGCTGTGTTAGCCTATAGGCAGTTGTTAATGTGGCTTATTATTGTTATTAGCCTTACAAAGCTTTTTTCTTTGATGGTACCATAATATCAGTTAGATAAGCCAAATTCTGTGTCGAAGGCTGCAGCATGGCTTTACTTGCTCAGCAACCACAACCACGAACGTCAAATTAAAAATAAGTGCTGCCTCATACTACTTTAAAATGTTCTGAACCAGACAACCTATCAGGACTAACATAGACATGGACTACATATCAAAAGAAAACAAGGATTACGAGACACACATGCTTTCTTTTTGTGCATCTTAAAGTTACAGACAGCTAACTCTAATTTGTCCAACTCGACAGCTATTGGAATAGATGCCATTGTCAGATGGCTCCAGCTAACGTTAAAACTGTTTGTGACGTCAACAAACTTAAAAATCCACATTAACCTAGAGAAGTGAAGCATTCCGACAGCACATCGTATGTATGTACTGTGCATCATATATCCTGTGAAAACCCAGACTATATCTACATTACGTCTGCAGAGTCGTCTATACTGCATACCACCAACTAAATCAGATTTCTACACATTTCTTTATTTTAAATCACTGCTTGGTAGCCAATCAAATGATTAAATACGCCCATCCAGCAGATCCAATCAGAGCAGGGATTTAGTTTAGAGACCCTTCCACACTGCATTTCAACAACTGACTGCTGACATAGCATTATAGAGTGCTAGCAAGTCCAGCGCAACTTTGGAAAGACCTACATACTTTTTTGCAAAAACATTTGACTTCCGACTTTCAAAAAAGATCTTCTTCTGAAAAATTACAAATGCATTTGGAGGACAGCAACGAAGCTGGAGACACATAAAAATGTAGGGAATGTGATGTGGCTCTATACAGTTACATAGCAATACATAGCACTAATAAGAGCACAAACAATATGCCTACGGATAGTGCTGAGACAAATGACCTGTAAATATACAGAGTAAAGACTTCAAGTGGCCTTTATAAGTTCATAAATTGGTTAACTGTTCAGATATTCATTCAAATTGGCTAATCATGTATGTTTTTGTTGTTTTATTCAGTAAAAATGTGAGATTTTTATAATTTTGTTCTTTAAAATTTGCAATATGTCTGTGTTTAAAACTGGTATTACTGAAA